CCGCCTCTGCGGCTCCCCCTACCGAGGGGTGCAGATGGAGGGCATAAAAGGCGGGAAAATGAAAGCCGGTGGTCACCATGTGAAAAGCCCCGGTCTTCGGGCGGGGTGAAGTGGGGGGGCGTAGTGTACCTATCACAGCATGATTTATAAATACTCAGTGAGAAGTAAAATCCTATGCCTGCTGAAATTTCTCTTTTAAAGAAGCAAAAAAAAAAAAAAAAAAAAAAAAAGCCATTTATTTCAAAATGAAAACTCCCCGTAAACCAAAATTGCTGCTAACGTGTATGGAAGTGACTCTTGGGATTTTTCTAGATGTGCAAGCATCTAGTATTTGTGCTACTCCACGCCTGCTTTTACTGAGCAATGTTTTCCCCTTGTTTTAAAGAATTACAGAGTTGATGGGGTATGAGCCAGAGGAACTCCTGGGTCGCTCAATCTACGAGTACTACCACGCGCTGGATTCCGATCATCTGACCAAAACGCACCACGATAGTAAGTGAAAAGATGCATTTGAAGCCCTCCAACTACAAGAGATGAGATACAGCACCGGGGGAAAGCAGCAGCAGAACGAGGGCTTTCCTTTAATTGCAGATTTGAATCTGCAGTGAATACTTATCTTTAGTGGTGTCGTTTTTTTCTGCCTGTAATTAAAGCCGCTGTCTTTTCTGCTTTTAGTGTTCACAAAAGGGCAGGTGACAACAGGACAGTACAGAATGCTTGCTAAACAAGGTGGCTATGTCTGGGTTGAAACTCAAGCAACTGTTATATACAACACTAAGAATTCTCAGCCACAGTGCATAGTGTGCGTGAACTACGTGCTGAGGTAAGTTGAGAGGTCATCGCTATTCTTTGTCATCATTTTTATTGGAGATGATGTCAGATACTTATGGCACTACGTCTTTTTTTTTTTTTTTTTTTTCAACTGAGAATGTGGTCCCCTGTTGAATATGTGATGATGTTACTATTTTTTCTACGAGTGAAATTTTTGCTTAGAATACTGCCGGTCCTAAGATTAGAAATTCTATTTGAAAACAAAACACTTTTTTTGACCTAGTGAGGTCAGGGGGAAGATCTCTTGCAGGCAAATGAGCACAGGACCACCCTGTTCTGGACTGTCACGATGGAAGCATTTGAGAATTTGTGTGCGTTCTAGACAACTCTCTAATCTTTGTCCGCAGTCCGGAACAGTTAATTTCACTAATAACTTTTAGTTATGGAGTCAGAGCAGCAGTAAGGGTGTCTTTCTTAATCCTATTTATCTTTTTCTTCATTGGAATTCCTCTTTTAATTCAAAGCTTTAACTGAAGGCACACTTGTTAACTGTTTTTCTGCAACTGTATAGTAGTCGTAAATTAGTTTTTCAAAACTTTAGTGAACGTACCAGTATCAGTCTATCAACATACAGTACATTCATTTAAAACAAAGAAAAGTGTTTTAGGAAATACCTAACTTTTTTCTTTTTTTTTTTCTTTTTTCTTTCTTTCTCTATACATTCAGAAAAGCATATTTATTTTTGTTACTTTTTTTGGTGGCACCACAATTAGTACTTGCTTTGTCTATTACATTTGAGGAAAGAATGAGTAAGAAAAAAAGAATCCTTAAAGCTCCCACCCTGGTAATTTTGCATTGTGGTGTATGTAGTGGTTTCGGGTTTTTTGTTTTTGTTTGTTGTTGTTTTTTTTTTAAATCACTTGGCAACTTACAAAACTGTTATGCCTGAATTTATTCCTTTTAGCTGTTCTTTAACAGTCATCTTCCTCTCTGTCTGACAGTGGAATTGTTCAAAAGGACTTGATTTTTTCCCTTGGACAAACTGAGTGTATGCTGAAACCAGTGGAGTCTCCCGATATAAAAATCACCAAAATATTCAGCAAAGATGACCTGGATGATACCAACAACCTTTTTGAAAAACTTAAACAGGAACCAGATGCTTTAACTGTGCTGGCCCCAGCTGCCGGAGACACAATTATCTCTCTAGATTTCAGCAGTAATGGTGGGTGTGTGTTTAAGTTGGAGAGCATGCTAATTAGTAAAGTTAGTATTTTACAGTAAATTTTGAAAAATAACCCCGCAATATCACTTGCCTAGTGGTACTTCAGCCGCTGTTTAAATTTAATGAGGTCCGTAGACACGCTCAGTATTGTTACTTAGGTTGATGGTTTCTTTTAATTTTTATAGAGTCTGATGAACAACAATGTGATGAAGTTCCTTTGTATAACGATGTAATGCTCCCCTCATCCAGTGAGAAATTACAGAATATAAATATGGCAATGTCCCCACTACCTGCCTCTGAAACTACAAAGCCACTTCGTAGCAATGCTGATCCTGCACTCAATAGAGAAGTTGTATCAAAGCTGGAGCCAAACACAGAGCCACTTGAACTTTCTTTTACCATGCCTCAGGTGCAAGAGCAACCAACCAGCCCTTCTGATGCAAGTACCAGCCAAAGTTCACCTGAGGTTAGTTACGTAATTTGGATACCCTGTCATTAAAATGTATGTGCTGTTGGGGCTTGTGGAGCAAATCTGGTTAAGAATGCAGCAAAGACAGGAATTTAATATTATTTCTAAGTTGTGACTTGGTTAAGCTCACACTATGATCTGAGGAAAAACATAAATTTTCATACTGAGAATTATCTTTTCGTTAACTTGAGTCTTGCAAATGCATACAATACCACCTGATAGAAATACGAAGAGCTTAGGATTGGTCTTTCTAGGAAAGAATGGTTCAGAGACAACGTCTGTGAACAGCAAATTAGTTGCAATAAATTACTGTAGAGGCTACTTCCAGGTTCCAGCTAATCGTGTGCTTCCCAAGTGGGGTAAATTTGAATGTCTACCGATAAATGTGTTTTCCTTTCCCGTTTTAATATTGTGCAACTATAGCTTGGAATTAGTTTTTACATCAGAACATTTTTCAGAGAATCTGTAGATACAGTGCAAAAATGATGTAATGACAGAACCTTAAAACTGCACTCAAACTGTTTTCACAGCCCAGTAGTCCCAACGACTACTGCTTTGATGTGGATAATGATATGGCTAATGAATTCAAACTGGAATTAGTGGAGAAACTCTTTGCAATAGATACAGAAGCAAAAAACCCATTCTCTACTCAGGTAATGTACATTAGTTTAAAATTCTGTATCATCTTAATACATATTCTCAATGTGCTTCTCTTAGAACGTCTTCAGGAACCTCCTTCCTCTTTTATGTAATATTTTTATTAAAATAAATTGCAAAAAAAGTATTGTAAGGATTTGGTAAAAGGAAGAGCCTTAATGAAGCTGTGAAGTCATAGCTGAGATGTTCTGACATATATATAATTTTTACCTCTCGTGTTTTTCAGGAAACCGATTTAGATTTGGAGATGTTGGCTCCTTACATCCCAATGGATGATGACTTCCAGTTGCGGTCCTTTGATCAGCTATCTCCGCTGGAAAGCAGTTCTTCCGGCTCTCAAAATGCAGCCACCATTACCATATTTCAGCAGACTCAGACACCATCAAGTACCGCTGATGAAATAAAACCAGTGACAGAGCGTGTGGATGACGTGAAGATGCTAATCATTCCTTCATCTCCTGTGCACATAATCAGTGAAACGAGTAGTGCCCCAGCATCACCTTACGGTGGGAACAGGAGTCGAACTGCATCTCCGATCAGAGCAGGAAAAGGAACGTTGGATCAGACGGAAAAATCTTGTCCAGGAGCGCCCAGTTTGCTAACAGTCACTCTGAATAAAAGGTATTTTAAAAGTGAAGCTTAAGCCCTAGTATCTGTTGAAGAAATTAGATATATACTTTTAAATACTGGCAACTGTTGTGTGTTGTCTTCAGCATCCTACTTCAGAGTAGGAATTGATACATTTAAATTTGGACATTGCAAACAATTTTTTTTGATATAGTAAGCTTCCCTTAAGATGATTTCGCAGTAGCTTTTACATAAACATCTTATGTAATAGGCGGCTGCTATACGCAAACTCTGTTTGTAATTTTGTTCTGCTCTTGTATCTGACGTGCAGCCTTTTTAAAAGTAGGCCATTTACAAGTAGTTATACCCACACAATATTTCTGGTGCTTTTCTTGTCCGCTTCGTTACGAGGTAAGAGGTGACTGCAGTCTGTATGCTACATGTATTGCTTTTAAAGCGAGCCGTATTTCATAATGATGGACTGTGGAATTTGTAGCAGATACTTACCGTGATAGAAAATCCTACAAAGTTGAACATCAGACCTCTGATACACAGAACCTTTATCTGTGCATAGAAATACTCAGTATAGACTTTTCCTCACCCTTCCCTCCCTTCTTTCTGTTGAAAGTGAATTGCTGAACTTTTATGCTTTGTTTTTTTTCTGCAAAGACTTTAAAATTTTTGTTATAACTCATTCTGAGCTTCACAGCAAGATTAAAAGCTAACATTTGCTATGCTTGTAGACAATGATTGTTGAAATGAGTCAATTATGAAAGAAAAGTAGTATAGTTCATAAATTCAGTTCTGTGATGTTGTATATAAGTGTCCACAACAGAAGAATGGCTTGAGGATAGTAGAAACGTCTTAACAGCCTGAATCAATTTTTCTTAGATCTACTGCAATGGATGAAGAACTAAATCCAAAGATGCTAGCTTTGCATAATGCTCAGAGAAAACGAAAAATGGAACATGATGGTTCACTTTTTCAGGCAGTTGGAATTGTGAGTTTTGTTTTACCATTTTAAAATATTCACTTTTAACCTTGCAATTTCTGAAATAAGGCATCAGTGCAGACTCCTGAGTTTAGCTGTTAGTATGCAGTGGAATCTTGGGATCAGAGATAACTGTTCGATAGTGAAATTCCCACATATATGCAGATGCTCTGATTTTAGTTCTCTTTTACTGTCAGCTGTTTCAAAAGTGCACTCTATACCCAAGCACATTTCTTTAGGTAGAAGATACTCTTTTGTGAACATGTATGTTCTTCAGTAGAATATGCACAAATGTAAGACATCATATTTAAATTTATAATTGGCATATTTATTTCAATTTTTAACTGAAACTCAGTTTTAGTATTTGTCAATACTGGAGATAGTGTTCTTATGCTTCTTTCTGTGCTTTCATTTTTCCATCAAGTCTGAGATTCCTGTTTGATCAGATAACAAGACCATCTGAACCATAAGGGAATAGAATTCATATAACCTAGCAAATGTATATTACTACCACTTTCATTTCATGCACACTCTAGTATTAGCACGTGTGATTGTGAGTAGCTCATCATCATCTGTTCTAGCTATGCAAAAGAAGCCTTTTAGGTATTCTTAGATTTGTGTCACTTAATCGGGGCTATCTAGCTTGTTATTTTCTGCAAGGGTATTTTGTCTCCATAATCTTTGTCTCTTGCTGTCAGTTCTTAGTATGTCAAAGTCTTGAGCTTTGCCATTACATAGTTATCTCTCTTCTTGCCTTCATTGCAAACTCCCACTTCTTCAAAGTTTTGCACAGTTAGTTCCTCTACTGCAATGTGGCCTTTGAGATTCTTTGTTGCTCTAGTGGTCCATCTCCTAGGTGTACTCATCCATCATGTCTTACAGTGCAGGATTATTTTCCTTCTGAACTATGAATTATTCCTGTATTAGCATTCTGGTTTGGGCATGAGACAAATCACTGTATGCTGTCTTTATCATCGCTCTCCTCTAGAAGACCTGAGAAAGCGTTTACGTGTCCAGTTTTTTCTATGAGGCAAGCAGACTTTATTTAAAAAAAAAAAAAAAATCATACTTATGCCATTGTTCTCATTTGCTAAATGCTTTGCACTTTCATGCATGTTGTTCTGTTGCTTCCAGTAGCGCTGTAAGAATTCACAGCTCTGCAAGAAATTTTATTGCCTTCCGTTGCCTTTTTCTCATGCGACGGTGCTACAGCTGTCAGATAGTGTTGCTGGTAAAATATTCAAAATAGCATGGGATGTCATTAAGTACACAGAACACAAGCAGTTCTGTATTAACTGCTGTGATAGCGTTCAGGCTTCTATGCTTAGTGCCTTTTTAATAGGTTCAAACTTGATCCTTTGCTAAACCTTTTTGTTTTTTCTGTATCTGACAAAAGTATTATAAACGGTTTTGATGGTTTCTGCACAGTCAGAAGCTGAACGTTCCATGTAGCTGGGTCTTACTGATGTTATTTCAAGCAAGTGCTTTTGTTGTTCGGCGGCTTCTCCACAATGGATTTCTGAGAGGAGGAACTAGGCCTTGCACACGCACAGAAGAAAAATGATGTTAAATCCAGGCTTACAACACGTGGTATGCTGGGATTGTGCAAAAACTCGCCACAACTTGTTAGCTGTAAGGAAGCAGGACTTACTTTGCAAAGAGTGAAAATAAGTGAAGACACAAGTAAAATACTACTTTAGTTTTCTAGAAAACAGGAGAATTAGACAAGGGCAAGATGTTTTCTAGTAAGATTATGAAATAATGATCGAAATCATTACACTGAAAAAGATAGAAGCTATATCTTTCTTAATATGAAGGGCTGTATTGCATTCATAGTAAAAAAAATAAACCAGCAACGATGTAGGTGACTGACCTTACTATGAAAAGCAGCTTCTAAGTCCGAGTTGTTTAACTATAACTTCTATTATACAACTGTCCTTTTGACTTGCATGGATGTTTCATACCCTGAAAACATATGTTCTTTACTATTTTAAGCGTTCAGGATAATGGCAGCATTCTGAAATACCTTTTCCTCTTTTTGCAGCAGGCAGTACTACTAACAAGACAAAACTTTGCAGATTCAACTACTTTTGCTAGCAAACTTGATACTAAGATGGTGTTTTTTCCTTCCATCCCATCTGTTTCAGTGGCAGCTTCTTCTTACTTATCCTAATTATACAGAGCCCTTAAAAGCTTTCTAATCTCCATATCTTCTGTGCTGCTGTCAAAACAATATGCTAAGGAGCCATATCTGCAATAGAATGGCTTAGGACTGCGTTCCCCACAAGACTTGGGTCAGATGGCTTGGTGGCAATAACTGGAGCGCAAGCAGAATTTACATCTTAAATTTAGATAGAATCAACCTACTGAGGTTCCTGAATCTCCCGTCTACACGACTAATTCCAGTGCAGAAAACCATTAGTGACTTCAGTGAAAACCTGATGCTTACTCATGCAAGAGCAGTGGTAATTAAATGGGTGTGTATGTGTACATGTACATGCTGATCTTGAGCGTGGTTAACTGATGATAACCAGGACTTAGTAATTGTTTTCTGTAAGGGAAATAAGGTCTCAAAATCTGATTCAGTTTTCTTTTAAAAGAATTTTCAAGGCTAGTGTACTTGGAAATATGTTTCTCCCCAAGTTCTGAATGAAGTCCACTTTAAATTGTAACAATGCCTACATTAGTAACTAGTGACAGGAGCTGTTAGTTTGGAAGAGGGACGTGGAAGGCTAGAAAGATACAGTATTCAATAAAGAAGATTTCTTTCTTTCTAGGGGTCTTTATTCCAGCAGACAGGTGACCGCGGAGGAAATGCATCACTTGCTTGGAAACGTGTAAAGGGATGCAAAACAAATGGTCATAATGGAGTGGAGCAAAAGACAATCATTCTACTATCAACTGGTTGGTATCTTCTTTTAGTATGTAGAGGGGGTGGAGGGGGGCTGAGTGAAAGAGAACCGAGTGATGAAAACACATCCAAACTTGCCTCCTTTATGAACAATTTTGGAGGACAGATTAAGTGTGGTCAATAAAGTGCACTTTTTCTCCTTCCCCTCCCTCTTCAGACATAGCGAGTAAACTTCTAGGGCAGTCGATGGATGAAAGTGGACTGCCCCAACTCACGAGTTACGATTGCGAAGTAAACGCTCCCATACAAGGCAACAGAAACCTGCTACAGGGTGAAGAACTGCTCAGAGCTCTGGATCAAGTTAACTGAGCTTTCACAATACTTGTTCCTTTTTTGGACACTGGTGAATCATCACCTAAAGCAGTCTATTTATATTTTCTATATCTGATTTTAGAAGCCTGGCTACAGTACTGCACTAATTCAGTTAGTTCAGTTTTGATCCCCTTTCTACTTATTTTGACAGTCTTTTTAATATGTTCTTTATGTAACAATAACTCAAACTAGAGTGCATTTTTATAATTCTTTGGTACACACACTTTTAAGTCCATTACATTTAAAACACACTTGCAATAGCAGCTTTGAAATATGCACCTGATTTTAAAAAAAAATATTTATTTTTTGGCTGGGGAGTTGGTCACCAAAACTTATCATTAGTAAAATGTCAACACCAGAAAAACTGGCAATACTTCCATCCTGCTCTTCATAGGTAGCTGGAAGACTTGTGCTCTCTTACTCTTTATGTTCAAGTAAGTTTTTTTTATTTTAACAGTTTTTATAAGAAACAACAATGCTTTGCAGCAGTGCGTTGTAGCCACAATCGCACAATATATTTTCTTAAAAAATACCAGCAGTTCCTCATGCAATATATTCTGCGTTTATAAAAACTAGTTTTTAAGAAGAATCTTCTTTTGTTTGCCTATGAAATCATGTTTAAACCTGGATTATGTCATTATTTTAGTCACGTTGTAATATAAATTGTTCTTAAATGCTGTCTTATGCTTTTGACTTAAATGAGTGTGGTTAGTCAAAGGAAAGGCTTTATCTGGAAAGGGCTAGCAGCATTTTATTTGGATATGTTCTCAATTTAGAGAGAGTTTGATGTTCTTAAAGTAGTCACTTTGCCAGCTTAAAAAAAAATAAAAATTCCCTGCCTGTAGTTGTTGAAGTTAATGCTAATATTGTGTATGATCTTAAATCTAAATGTTCAGCTTACCCTGTGTGGTATAGGTGATATTTCAAGCAGATTGTAAAACATCTTGCATTGTTAGCAGAGTTTTATCTAGTACTTCATTGAGTTGCGCAATATTTTGATGTTTTGGTTTTATGCACCTTGTTGCTATTAACATCCATATGTTTTCATGTAGATTTCAATAACTTGAATATATTTAGAAGCCTTTTTATTTAGAAATATATAGTTGTCACAACCATCTTATTTTCCTATATGTACTGTACAAAACCTTCATTCACTCCTTCTTTTGCTCTTTGTGGTTGGATCTAACACTAACTGTATTGTTTTCTTACATCAATAAACTATATGTGGACCAGGCCCCCTTGGGGAGTGTGTTATCTGAGAGAAATGAGATAATTTATATTTTTGTTAGTGGTTATTGTTCATCCGTGTTCCCTTTTTAACTTAGAGTTGATTGGAAATCACTGCTTCCTTATTCCGACTGTAACATCTCCGTGTTAATTATTTGAGCCTATTCAGTACTGAAGTATCATAGACGGTGTTGTACTACCGCTCGCCAAAGATGTTAAATTTTTAAATCTGTTATCACACCAGTTAGCAAACTTGAAAGACAGCGTATTTGTGTTACTTTAGAGTGGAAAGATTCTTCCTTATGAACAGCTTAAAGGCTTGTCTCTGGAAGCTTTATCAAGGTAACACTGGAAAGCAGGAAAAAGTAAAATTCACAGAAGTGATCAATTAAAGATGGATTTTTATCACAAAACTGCGTTATTAAAAAATTAAGCTGGTACTTGATGATAAAGCTTGTCATGTGTAAATATGGTCAGATATTATGTGCATTCTTCAAACTATTTTAAAATTATCTCAATGTAAGAAATCAAGTGTGGAGCATCACAAGAATTATTTCGGTTTTAGTTTGGAAACTTTGGCTTCATAGGACTCCCTTGAGTCTTTCGAAGTCAATACAATGGTACATAAGCTTAACCAGTTTTCTAAAATTACTGTTACCGTTTCACTGAAAAGTGCTTGTTTTGAACTGACACAACTGTATTAAACTAATACAGTTTAGTTTAGCTACCAACTAAAAAAATGATAAGGCGGGGTAGTTTAGACAGTTGCATACTTAAAGTTTGAGTAGAAGTTGCACAAAGAGAGGAGGAAACACGTAGGTGCACTAACCTGGAGTTGAAGCTTTGTGCAGAGAACATTTTGAATATATACACCTGCTGCTGAATATTAAAATCTTCAATGCAGCCTTTAAGTGTACAAAGCTTATAAAGCGCTCTGGATAAAAGCGGCAGAGCTACTGCCTGCCTGTTGGGTGAGAGTTTCTTGGATGGCATTCTTTCCATGGCATCTCTTTCTCTGTCAGCAGTTAAAAGGTTTAACAGCGAGGTTGCTCAAGGCTGAGGTGAAGCACCAGCGGGCAGGGTCATCCCTTACGCTCAGCTCTGCATGGATTGACATCATGCTTCTGTGAGGTAGCGAGGAGAGTCTTGTAGACGTGTGACAGGTACGAGCGGGTTCTGCTTTTCTTGCTGGCCTGGTGGGTTACCCCTTTTCACCTCCCAAGAGAAACTTCATACTTTCCTGCTTGATGTTGCTCTGCTGCTCTCTTGACCTTATCTTGGAGGAGCCTGACCTGTTTTTGGATCTCTCAGCTCCTCTTCAGTGTACTTTAAGAGGGCAGTAAATTTTCACAGAGAAAAATCCATGTTATAAAGAGGCAGAAAACTTAAGTGACCCACATGATTTATGATGATGAACCTGCTGGAATCATCTCTGGTCTTAATGACAGCAGCTGTGGATTTAAATGAGCCATGTTTCATCTAAGAATCTTCCCAACTGTCACAATTTTTATTAGACATAGTAACAAGGCATAGCATTTTGTTTTCTGTCCTGGTAAAAGTGACTGAAACAAGCAATTAATGGAATGAACTGCAGTAGCTCTATTGGTTTACTCTAGGAAAAAAAAATAAAAATAAAAAAACCAAACCTCCTAGAGACACTGAAGAAAGCATAGAAAAGTAACAGTAGTTGCTCTGGCCTTTTAAGAGCTTTGCTAAATGCAGATCTAAGTTTGTAAAATCTAGAAGTACACCTTTTAGCTGCTTTTTTTTGTTTGTTTTTTAATTTTTTTCCCTTGCTTAGACTTTAGGAATGCATAGCCTGATTCTAAACTTACTTTGGAGGACAAGCTTCTAGAATACATTGATTTCTAAATGTTTTCTTAGTGATTTTGAATAATTTCTTTGACTTGCTACCTTTAAAATGTTGAGGCACTACATTAGAGCATTTATTCTTCACCAATAGTAAAGAAGAAATTGTAGGTAAATAGTGTTTCCTTCTGCAAATGAAATGTGCTAGATTATGTGGAAATGATAAACGGAGGAGAATAACAAAGTTCACTTCCAGAAGGTTCTCATGACTACAGCAGTAGTCAAGCCACTCCTTCATGGCATAGCACAATTATTGTTTTTACATGTGGATTCTAACTGATGTTTTTATCAACTACAGTGATAGTTTTGTTAAAAGGTAAAGGCATTTTTAAACTAGTATTTATGATGACATCATTCATTCCTTTACCTGAAAGTAGTTATAATTAACTACAGCTGTAGCTCCTAAGAAGTCACTTAAGTCCCCTGTCCAGTGAGTTGATCTCAGGTGTAATATACTGAGTAAGTTAAGGTAGCCCGGAGTCCAAAGTAAACCTTTCTAAGGTACTTTCCTCCCCTGTAGTGCAACAGGTTTGGACTGTATGTTGATCTTGGAAAACCTTTGTGTGAAAGGGAAACAATTTGCCATTAAGTTTCCTTTCCTGTGTGTCTGTGTACACACATTACACTCTCCCTAAGTAATTACTGAATTAAAGATATCGCAGATTAAGGCCAGAAAGGACAATTAAAACTTTGTCCATAAAACTGGTAACAATTTAAAGACTTCAGAGCTTATTTTGGATGAATTGATCAGCTCTGCCTCCAATGAACTACAACTGTAGGAATCAAAAAAGGCTGATGATTACAGGTTAAACTACTGCATATTTAATAGTAATTTTTTGTTATTTAAAAAGCTGTTTAATTAAACAGCTAAACACAGTGGTAGCCAAAGGCAGAAATGTGGGCTGTTTCACCAGTATCTGTTGGCAAGCTTTCTCCACTGTTACACCGCTGGATGAATGGTTTCCTTGGATGAGGAGTGCTGTGGAAGCGGTGAGTACCTGACCGCTGCGAACCAGGCTATAGCTGGACGGGCCCGAGCTCAACCATCTGTTCCCGTCCCCGCTGATGAGCTGCTACTGAACAGAACACACATCTCACTCAAATGTCACTGCCCTTAGGCGCATTATTCAAACCATAATGGTCCAGCATGAAAATAAACATTTCACAGGCCAGGAGTACTCTGTAGGAAGACCACGTTCATAGGAATTCATGTCAGTTGGGTATCCAGCTTTCATTAAAAATTACTGTGAGCAATTAGGCACTTGACTCCCTGGAAAGCTCCGTTCTGGAGAACTGTGATTTTTGATCCAAATTCTAGAAATGAGTTGTCATTTTCCTTCTGCTTCCCCGTTTACCTTGAGCAAGGCTTGCCAGGTTACCAAAAAGTTAAAGAGTTTGCTACTGGGTTTATACAGTATGGTAGATTTTGTGAATAATAGCAGTATTCTCTCATGAAGAAGTGGTATATTTTAATGGAATTCTTTTCTGGAACCAAGTACAACGTATTGCAATTGATATTTCTCTTGAAACATTTTGACATACTTGTGACTGTATTTCTTTTTGATTGTGTAACAGTATAAAATTCAATAAAAGAGAGGGTTTGTTTCTAATTCGTGTTTCTGTTCATCCATTATCCCCGTTCTAAATGATGGGAGATGGCAAAACCACTTTTTAAGGTGAACTAAATAATCACTGTGCAGCGTGACTAAAACTGCTTGCGTGTTTGAGGTCTGACTTACCTGCCACTGAAGTCAGAAACTTTGACACTAAGCATATATGTAGCCTTATTTTCCAAAAGCATTTGTAAGTTCTGTCTTGCCCTTACAGCTGAATCCTGTTCACCTTAGACACAATGGTTATCCCACATGAACTAAGCAGACCGCAGGCATGAACAAAAGAGGCTAAGCACATACAATTTCAACAAATCGGACATTGGGGACCATGCGGGCTTTCCTGTGGTAAGGTAGAGAGAAGAGAGCAACAGCTGCGGAGCCAGAGGGACCGAGAACATTTATGAAACCTCTTTGAGTAATCACATCAAGAATGCCCTTAGTAACAAAACAGAAACTAGCCTGAATCCCAGGTGACACCTCCAGGTGATTTCAGTTGCTCTCAGTACATGCAAATAACTCGACAGGACCTCGTGACTCTTGCTGTCTTGGGAAATCAATACCTCTTCCTATTGCACAGATTAAAAATCTTTTGCAATGTTTTTGCTTTGTTGGGAAGTCTGAAAGCAGGAGGCTTGTGCAAGTGCCGTCACAGTGAAATATGATCTTGTTATTTGGCATTAGTGATACACTTGTACATACAGAAGTTTGAATACGCATATTTAATATGTCCATGATTTTCATAAAAACCCATGAAAACGATTTAATGTTTTCAATTTGAAAATGTGTTCTAATACAATCAGACAAGGTATTTAAAAAAAAAAACCAAAGAGTTGCCTTGTGCCATGTGCAACTGGAGAACCCCCTGTTATTTATATCTATGCAGGATAAATGGCTTTTTAACCTGCAACTTACAAGCTAGGAATTAATAGGGCAATCAGGACTTCATCCTTTTATTTAGAAGTTAAATAAGAATATGAAGAAGATACAGTAACCAGCACACTCTTCCTTACCTCATCTAATTATTTTTTAATTTTTTTTTTTTCAGTTTGGAAGGCAGTCTTCAGAATTAAAATGTACTAACGAAAAATCTGAAGGAGCACTAGAAGAAAACACACAATTTATCGAGTAGAGTATTAATTAGCCTAAAAATTGACGCTGTATTTCACTGTATACACCACAGAAGAGGAATTCTACAAAGAGACACTTGCTTTTTTTTATTCCTCCGCATTTTCATTCTTTAAACTGTAGCCAAACTTTCTGCAAGGAAAGACTTAGCACACGTTAACATATGGGCGCAACAGCCTCCTCCTCCTCGCTACGTCTTACATCATCTTACAGAATGAAAGTGTCATGATACGCAGCCCCATCTGCCTTAGAAAAAGAAATTTCCATCTAGCGTTTCTTGAAACACTGTCTCTGAGAAATCAGAACACTCACTGCACGCTTAAAATACAAAAGTCAGAAAACACGCTCAAGCTTTACAAATTCTACATCACTCCAGAGCCAAGCTCCTCCGCTCCTTTTAAATGAAGGGATAACTCCTGTAACTAAGTAGGGCTTGGCTTGTAAGTAATGACGAACTTGCTCCGTGATGCGTCAATTATTAACTTTCTTGTGCTTTGAATCCGTAAGTCCATTGGGGAGAGTACATTATAACTGTTTTCCCAACAGCGTTGGCATTCTGTTTCAAAATCGGTACAATCTGTTGAAGCCAGGGTCTCCTACTGCATAAATGGGGTCACTGCCCTAGGTCTCTCAACATGAATCCAAATGATAGATGAAAATGCCTTTTCAGGGGGAAAAAAAAAAGGCAAACCAAAGCCAGCAGGTGCAGCTCTCCCCCTGCAGCTGCCAAAACCTGCCCAGTTCAGAGGTAACAGCTCAGCTAATGCTTCTGCTCCCATCATCAGTGGAAGTGGCAATCAGCGGCGCTTAAAGACAACGGCTGCTTAGCTGATGGCCATTCTTCTCCTACTCATCTGTACAGGCAACTAAAGGTTGGATTCCAGCAACCTTTCGGGAAATGTAAGAAATATGGAAAGATGCTTTTGTGCCTGAAGCACTGTGGAAGCTACCGTCATCGTAGGAGCTGATGGCTTCGAGTGCCTACCTTTCAGGAGCGACCTTTAGATCAATGAGTTGATGCTAAGGGTGAATTGGAGGACATCACAGTATGAGAGCCAGCAGAATTTAAAATTCATTCTGCGGTGCACGATTATTTAAGAAAGCCAAACGTGAATCGTTAACCCGATCACGGTGCGAAACTCCTGCAGGTTCACACATCCGAAAGGCACCGTCCCACGCCTGCCCGGCCTTTTTCCACCCGCGAAGGACCCCCGAGCGCAGGGCCACCCCCGCGGGCCGGGCAGGCAGCCCCGCGGGACGGAG